TTATAATTGGCAACACTTCTTTCTTTTCTAATCCAAAAAGGAAATTCTGGGCCTATTTGAACAACCAAACTATTAACTTAATCATAACTAGATCAAATGCACTTTCAACAACTTCAATAAAAGGTCAACACTACATAATTGATGATCAAAAAGAATTCACAAATGCTCATGCCCTATTTAACCATATCTAAAGAAAAAAACATTGAAAATCTTAAGTCAATTTGGTCACTATATGACTCAACACTTCTTATATTCTCAACAATCTAAATAAACTCAAGAACTCTTTATCCTATTCTGCAAGCAACTCCACAAGTTACTATTACTTCCAATATTCAACACAACTTGCCTACCATAATCCATATTTTCACCAGCAATAATAACAATCTAATTGTTCTAAATCCCAATACTACAATACACTATGCAACAAATACAAACTTCTGGTTTGCCTTCTGGTCAATACTTTATCAAGTCATAGATAATATCTCTCAATCATCTATCATTAAAATATATTTAAACACTATTCCTGACCTATCAGTGTCTGACTACATAAACAGGCAAATTAAAATCTCATACAGTCACTCCATTAGCAACTTCAATGACATTATCAAATCAAAAAACTTAACAATACACTGGTTCAAACTCAAAAACGAACAACCTTCATCATATGATACCACATTAACAACAATAACACCTCTGTTAATTTTCTTTTCAATACATACAACCTTCTCTCTAATTAATAACAAGTATACTACTAGTATAGTTTACTGGATAAAGTTTGTCAACTTTTATACAAATCTATTTGACATCTTGCTAAGCCAAACTTCATACTTTAGGCTTTCAACACTTCTTGATTTCAAAACCATTATTAAAGTCAACAAAAAACTTAAAAAACTTGACCAACTTAAGTACAATGCCTTATTTACTTTCAGAACTAAAATTATAGCCAATCAGCTTTTTACCAAATCAAAATTAAACAAAAGATATCTAGGTGTGAAGCTTTTATTAAAAACATCTTACACATTTTCTCTTGTATATACAACCATTTTCTCATTAATAAAAAAAAGTATAAACTACAAAAACTCATTCTCAAATCCAATAATAAAAACTCAACAACAGCAAATTCAAAAAACACATTCAATCCATCAAGTCGGGATTTAATCCATCCCACCACATGCAACTATCAGCCTTATCTCAACCATATCCAAAAAAAGAGAGAGGAAATTTCTAATTATGCTTTGAAAATTCTTTACAAAACCTGGAAACAATGATCTGTGACCTCAACAACTTCACTATTCTCAGGAATTATATGGAGAAAAACTTCAAGTGTCACTCCAACAATAGTAACAACTTAATCAAAAATAATAATTTAGCATTTATCAAAGTACTTAACACTATAAAATTCAAACAACTTCACTAACAAATAAATATTTACTTTAGCAATAGTTTCATTGTTCTGAACAGGCATTAGCCATTTAGCACTATCTATATAAATCCACCTACTTGGTGAAAATTTGTGTAGCTAGTTTATATTGCAATAGGCAATAATTAATTTGTACTTTCCTTTACAAAGATTATTAATGTAATGACAGTAAACTCATTGTTTAAATAATGTCTCACATTTAATGCTTGTTTGCAATTAAAAAAAAAATTAAAATATTAATGACAATTAAAAACATAATTTTTTTTGAAAAAGCAAATATGAATAATAATTTAAGATTTTATAATTTTATTGAAAAACTTTGAATGAATACTTAATCATATTTTTTATATAATAATTTATTATTCAAGTATTACTTATTTATTAAATAAATAAAAAATAATTTGATATTAAGTTATAATTAATTTTAATAATTTATTATGTTTTATTTTGTATTTAATACAAAATTGGATTGCTATCAATATAAAAAAAATTTTTTAATGTAACTTTATTTTTGATATCCTAAAAATATATACTGCGTACAGTATATATATCTTTATCTTATTGAGTTTGTAAATATTTAAATTTTCCAATTTTTTTTTGAATTAGGCTATATAACAAAAAACCAAGCGATCAAATTACGGTATACAGTATATAGGCATTTTGGTCATGCAAGTTACACATTTTGATATTATAATATTACAAAGCACTTTGAAATGTCTCTATCAGAAAATTTGAAATGGAAAAATGGATGGGTCAAAGGACTTGAAAACTCTTTAAACGAATTAATAACATTAAAGAAACTAGAACATAGCGACTTCGAGGATGCTAAAACTATAAGAAATAGTGTCGGAAAAGTATATAAAGCTTATTCAAAGAGTATAAAAAAGATAGTAACGATTAAGAAAGTTAAAATTTTTGATGAAACTTCAGCAAATATATTTTTTAACGAGGTATTTATTTTATTATGTAGTAATACAGTATAATTGATTCCTAACGTAAAATACTTTACTTAGCTTAAATTGTATTAAGGCATTAAATTTGATGATCATATCTTACGACTTTATGGAATTTCTAAGAAAGATATTATGCGCATGGTGACAATTTTTTACATTTATATAAGAAACTGTAATTAATGTAAACAATATGTAGACTCGCAAAAAATCGAATATCTTATTATTACTGAATATGTCGATAAAGCTTTGCGCCAATACCTTGAAAAAAAACTTTCATTTATTTAATTGGAATAGTAAATTACGCGTTGCTAAAGAACTCACAAGCGCAGTTTTATATTTACACGAAAAAGACATTATTCGTAGAGATTTGGTTGATAATCGATTCAAAGTTTCTTTTCATATAATAAGTATTTATCTGTTTTTTTTTTAATTTTTAGCATCCAGCAAATATTTTTATCAGGGGTAGAAACATAAAACTTGTTGATTTTGGGCTGTCTAAGATGAATCGATCGCTAATGTACCAGCTGAAGTTATTCATATATTGACCCGCAATGTTTTAACAAAGAATCTTATAAAATTATTAAGAAATCACACATTTATAGCTTAGGTGTTATACCCTGGGATCTTACAAGTGGATATCCACCTTTTAGTTCGAATGGATACAACGCAGAGTTGATTTAACAAATTTCGGAAGGTTTTAGAGAGCCTAGCATGATAGGAACGCCTCAAGAATATATCGAAATTTATGAAGGTTAGCTTATAATAATATCAAACAATATATTTGTATTGTGCTAATTATTATATTCTTATTTAAAGATAAAGATTCAAACTTTTGTTAGCTTGTAGGAACGAAAATCTAGACAAAATTATTCGAGTTAAATAAATGGTCGATTCACTAAATTCGATAATTAAAATACTTTAAAAGCCTTGGATGAACTTAGGATTTATGAATTCAACACGTTAGACAAATTATTTCAACTTATTGTCGATCAAATAAGCAAAGAACCATCTAATTGGAAGTTAAAAACTTGCATTAATACCTTATTGAGGGCAATCTGACGACTTCAAAACATATTTTTAACTTATTAACTTACTGGCAGGAAATCCCTCAAAATGTGATAACTCTCGGAGTTCTTTTTCAAACGGAATTGGAACCATCAAAGACGACGAAAAAGCGTTTCAATGGTATTTAAAATCTACTGAAGGTGAAAACACCGCTGGACAACGTAATCTTGGATATTGTTTTCGTAAGGGACTCGGAATCACTATAAACTTCGAAAAAGCATTTCAATGGTACCGGAAGTTGGCTGAAGGGGAAAATTCCAGCGGACAGTGTGGTGTTGGGTATTTGTATCATGAAGGAATTGGAATCACTCGAGACAACGAGAAAGCATTTCGGTGGTACCAGAAATCTGCTGAACGTGGAAATGCCAATGGACAATGTGGTCTTGGGTATTGTTTCGAAAAAGGAATTGGAACCAATCAAGACTACAATAAAGTATTTCATTGGTACCTGAAGTCTGCTAAGTGTGGAAGCAGTCGGGACAAAAATATCTTGGAATTTATTATTGTGATTGGATTGGAACTACGGAAAATATGGAGAAAAAAAACTACTGGTTCGATAAATATGAAATGATGAATGTGTTTTAATATGTCCATACTTTTTATATATAATTGGTTTTTTTTATATTATTCGTTTGACTATGATTTATTATATATGGTATTTTTAATAATTGCGATATTTTATTATTTAATTTATTTTTAACTTTCTTTTATTTTTTTTTAATGAGCATTTTTTTAATGAATAATAATAATAGCGCATTGTTTATATGTTATAGCAATGCAAAGAAAAATCAAGCAATAATTTTTATAAAAAGAAAGAATGCAAAAGTTTAATATATGGATTCCAAAAGGAACACAGCACTTGTATGTCTATTTAAAGCATTCAAATTAAAAGTTAAATAATAACCGGATCATTATGATAAATACTTTATACGGAAACAACCTAAATAGAAAATAAGCCATTTCTGTCATTCATTAAGCTTACTTATTTAATTTATTATAAAAGATAAATATATAAAATGGCAATATATATACCAAAGAGTGACTTAAATATATATAATATATAAGAAGCTATTATTTAACAAGGTTATAATTCCAATTAATAAAACCAATACAGTGTCGCGGGTCAGGGATTTATTACTAGTCACGGCGCAATCCTGACACTTGTACAGGGGTTTCATGTATAACAGGGGGTGTAAGAGGCAGAAAGAAGGCGTAGATAAATGGTAAGTGCATATGATCAACTATCTGAGAATTACGTAAGTCTTTTAGTAAAAAGAAAGCTCTGCTCTAATTAGGCATAGTATCATTCATTCGAAAGTCTATTATTTGACTTTGTTGATATTTCTGTCGTATTTTCTATGTGAGAATTTAAAATTTAAAGGGTTATTTACTCAATTACTGTACGGATATTTGACATTAAATGTTTATTGAAATACTCTGATTTATCGTATAACAAATATGTATTTATATAATAATTGTTTGGTAGACGTAGAAATGAGATAATAGTATTATCGAAGAGACTCTTCCATACATTTCCAACTGCGCGAGACACATTCTGTCTATTAGTGATCTCTCCTCAAATGCTTCATCAAAAGGTGTTTACTATCAAAACTTTGATCGCACTCGGAATAAGAATATTCCAACTCTTCCTCTTCATCTGACGCTTCCAGTGATCCCGGGTCCTGTAACCAGTCAGCCCGTTGAATATATGATAAAATCTAGAAGTAATAAAAAAGAAATAACAACAACGTACCTGCCATTCAAGCTCAGCCACCTCAAGAGTAAAGCCTGGCAAATACTCCTCTCCATCCAGATCGCTCCAGGTGCGCTTTTTAACGCGACGAGCATCACGCCTATAAATCCAAATATGTTCATACTTAGGGTCTATTAGCCAACCGAGCTGAACAGACGTTTTCGGTGCAAAGTAAACGTTCTTGAACTTGAGATCCACTTTATTAAACTTCGTTCTGTTATAGATATTACTAGTTGTGGAAAAAAATACTAAATATTGAATGGCATATGTTTACTTACCCATGAATATTTTCAAAGTCTTCGACCTCCACAACAACGGTAGGACTGAAGGGTTCACCTTGAAATGAGTCAAGTTGGCTATCATCTAGTCCGTGACAAGTATCTCTTGGTGTATAAGCGACGTCCGGTGCTACAACTTCACCACTTTCAAGTTTAAAACCTTGTGAGGAAGTCACTACCCCCTTCTGCCGAGACTCCTTGTTCCAGTTTTCTAATTGTGCTACGATCTTAGCGACAGCATATTCTTTGCGAAACACGGTTGGTGGCATTGGAATGAGTTTTCCAGATTTGTCCAGCTCAAAGTGATGGATGGGTTCGTCGTCGATTATTAACGTGCGATACTTAAGCTGGTCGCTGATGATTTCAAACTCTTCAAGACTGTAAGCGCGGTTCATGTCCAAATTGTCAAGGTCCAAATACTCATAAATATTCTTAGAGTTTGACATGGTGTAAAGTTGTGAACGAAAAAAAAATCTCTTATAATTGTTTTCTGATGTAATATATGTGAGAATTGGCGCAGAAGTCACGAGTGAATCATATCACGCCTATCGAAAAATTACATCTCGAAGTTCTAATCTGAAATATGCTCTACTCAATATTGAAGCTATTATGTTTTCTGTTGACTTAGAATATTATAGTCATACAAAACCGTGACCAAATCTAATGAAATTGGATCGCATAACATATACTACTAATACAACGAAGTCTTCTCTCATTCTCATTTGTAGCGTCTACAAAAGAGAGTGATCTCGCATCAGCATTGAGACTAGAATTTTTATCGGCATTATTGAAATTTTTGGGCTTTTAATTCTACTAGAGCATCATTTGGTCGGCAAAAGATTCAGCATTGATGAAATTGGCGATTGAGTACATCTATCTGCCTGTCGTTGATATTACTTATTTGCATTATGTACTTGATTAAATCGTATTTATAATGTATAGAAAAAGTCTGAAATCGATGACCCATGTAAAGCCATAATGCGATGAAAATAAGTCGTAGTATATTAAGAAACTCACCTGGTCTCTCCCAATGAGAATTGAATTCTTCAAATATCGTTCACCTGCACTGATCCTATTCTGGTTTTATGTATAAATACATTTACTAGAAAAGTTTTAATATAAAAGTGCATTAGCAATACTATCATGCGAAATGTCAGTTAAAATAGTATACAGTATAAGTTTAATGTTTACGTTGTAATCTCTAACAAGATTCTGAAATCTATTGTTACATTGACACCCTGTATAGGTAGTTCTAAATCGTTCATTGGTTGTATTTTTGAAATACTATCTACTGCTACTACCTGAAATGTTTTAATACTTTGCATTTCGATTTCTTCTTTGGTCGACTAACAAGCACACTCGATTGTCAGTCACATCACAAAAAAAAAAATTCAGCCACTAACTCTATTCACAAAATAGTTGCCGATAGCTTATTATTCATACAATTGTATATGAAAAATAGTTTATCGTGTCTACACTGTTTCTATATCGCACCTTAACGTACCTCACCACATCAAAATTATAAGAGAATTTTATATTATTTTTTTATTGCTGAATTAATATTTAAATTTTGTTACAGTTATATAATCGATTTTTTTAATTTAATTTATAAATTAATTTGATTTTGATTTCTTGATTTGTTTAATAATACCAAATAATTTATAGCTATTCGATTTGAACACATGCTCTTGACTTAATATTATTATTCTAATAATTTTGGTTCAATAATTATTATTACCAATATCAAAATAATTTTGACATAAGTTTTATGAAATGCCATACCAAATAGTACCAATTATTCTTTTTAAGGACCCAACAAATTGAATTTACACCAACATTTATTTCTTCTATTATTTTTGACTTTTGTATGTTAATTTCTATTTTACATTTATCTTTATTATCCATTAAATAATTGTTTATTCATTATGTGGAGTAGGGTTAATGAACATCATAGAAAAAGCTTATTGTACTTTATCTGTTCTAACATATTAATTCATAATGACATGATAATTGTTTGTTTTTAATTTAAGTTATTGAAAATTGTCATACAAGTGTCCTTTTGAATCTACTGTATTAAACTTTTACATCCTATCTTGTTACAACTATTATTTCTATAGCATATAAAAAATGCGCTATTATTCATTAAAGAAATGCTCATTAAAAAGAAAAGAAAATCGAATAAATAAAAATATAACCATAAAAAAATCATAGTCAAACGAATATCAAAAAAAAAAAAAATACTATAAAAATTATGGAATATATTAAAATATATTATAAAAATTATGGAATATATTAAAATATATCCATCGGCTTCCCAGATTTATCGAACCAATACTTTTCTTTCTCCTTATTTTTCGTAGTTCCAATCCCATCACGATAACAAATTCCAAGATTTCTTTGTGCCTGACTGTCTCCTCTTTCAGCAGACTTTAGATACCACTGAAATGATTTCTCGTGGTCTTGAGTGATTCCAATTCCTACTTGATAACAATATCCAAGACTACATTGTCCACTGGCGTTTCCGCCTTCGGCAGATTTCTGATACCACAGAAATGCTTTCTCATGATCTTGAGTGGTCCCATTTCCCTTGTGATAACATTCTCCAAGATTATGTTGTCCCTGATGGTCTCCACCTTCAGCAGATTTGAAGTACAACTGATATGCTTTATTGCAATCTCGAGTAGTTCCGATTCCCTCATCGTAACAATACCCAAGACCACATTGTCCACTGGCATTTCCGCCTTCAGCAGATTTCTGGTACCAATGAAATGCCTTTTCGAAGTCAATAGTAGTTCCAACTCCGTATAGATAGCAACATCCAAGATTACGTTGTCCATCGGTATTTCCACCTTCAGAAGATTTTAAGTACCATTGAAATGATTTTTCGTCGTCTTTGATGGTCCCAATTCCGTTTTGAAAAAGAACTCCAAGAATCATCGCATTTTGAGGGATTTCCTGACGGGTAGTTAATAAATTAAAAATATGTTCTGAGGTCGTCTGATTGTTCTCAATAAAGGTCTTAATGCAAGTTTTTAACTCCGAATTAGAAAGTCTTTTGCTTATTTGATCGACAATAAGTTGATATAATTTGTCTAACGTGTTGAGTTCATAAAACCCAAGTTCATCTAAGGTTTTTGATTTAATTATCATATTTAATGAGTCGAGCATTTCTTTAACTCGAATAGCTTCGGGCCTTTTATCTAGCTTTTCGTCCCAACAAGCTAACAAAAGTTAAAAATTTCACCATTTAAATAAGAATGTAATAACTAACGAAATACAAACATATTGTTTGATATTATTATAAGTTAACCTTCATAAATTTCGATAAATTCTTGAGGCGTTCCTATCATGCTTGTTTCTCTAAGACCTTCCGAAATTTGTTGAATTAACTCTGCGTGGTATCCGTTCGAACTAAAAGGTGGATATCCACTTGTAAGCTCCCAAAGTATAACACCTAAACTATAAATGTCTAATTTCTTAGTCATTTTATAAGATTCTTTATTTGTTTTCACAAAATATTGCGGATCAATATATGGTATAACTTCAAGTGGCACATTAGCAATCGATTCATCTCTTAATTTCTTAGACAGTCCAAAATCAATAAGCTTTATGTTTCCATCCCGGATAAAAATATTTCCTGGATGCTAAGATAAAACAAATAGATTAATACTTATTATATGAGTATAAACTTTGAATCGATTACCAACCAAATCTCTATGAATAATGTCTTTTTCGTGTAGATACAAAACTGCGCTTGTAATTTCTTTAGCAATGCGGAATTTGTTATTCCAATTTAATAAATGAAAGTTCTCTTCAAGGTATTGCCGCAAAGTTTTATCGGCATATTCAGTAATCATAAGATATTCGGTTTTTTGAGGGTCTACATATTGTCTACATTAATTACAGTTTCTTATATAAATGTAACAAATTGTCACCATGCGCATAAATACCTTTCTTAGAAATTCCATAAAGCCGTAAGATATAATCATCAAATTTAATGTCTTGATACAATTTAAGCTAAGTAGAATGTTTACGTTAGGCATCATTTATACTGTATTCTACATGATTAAATAAATACCTCTTTAAAAAATATATTTGCTGAAATTTCATCAAAAATTTTAACTTTCTTAATCGTCACTATCTTTTTTATACTCTTTAAATAAGATTTGTATACTTTTCCAAAGACACCATTTCTTATGGCTTTAACATCCTCGAAGTCGTTATATTCAAACTTTTTTAATGTTATTAATTCGTTTAAGGAGTTTTCAAGTCCTTCGACCCATCCATTTTTCAATTTCAAATTTTCTGATAGAGACATTTCAAAGTGCTTTGCAATTTTCATGATGCATAACATGCATACTGTACTGTATGCTGTTAGATTTTTCTGTTGCACGAAAATGTTTCAAAGGTTTTATTGTTACACATTTGTTAAAATAGTTTATCAATAATTTATTAAAATGTCCGAGCACTGCGAAGGACATTTGAAAATGGATGGGCGAGGTAAGTAAAACGAAGATCATAGGACTAGGCCGTTTTACAATACAGTATTTAGTTTCAGCCAACGTGTGGCGCAATTACATCATTACTTAATACGTCACAAACGAACAATCATAATCTATTGTAATATATATTTATGTACACGACACGATCGTTTCTACCTAGGCCGTTAATTCTTAGATCTTGTTGAACCTGTAAGTATAATTGAGATAATGGTAGTGTAACATTTTTTGGGACCTTCCGAATCAAATGCTAGTTGTGCTCTACTTAGGTATGTGTGTTATGGATAGGGTGGGTGGCGGAAAATGCTGATCTTCGTTTTACTTACCTCGCTCATCCACTTTCAAATGTCATTTGCAGTGCTTGGACATTTTAATAAATGAATCTCGCTTGGTAAGTAAAACTCGGATCATATGACTCCTGTGGAGGATCCCCCTTATTGGTCACATTGATAATTTTATGTATGACGGAGTTTTTCTCTAGCATTGAGGTGACCCCTCTCTGATAAAATCTTTGATAGACCGAATGGTTAGACCAATTACCTATTGCGATGGAGGACAGGTCTGCTCCAGAGTCCTGGGTGTAGAATGCTGCTAAAGATCTTGTGTACTTGACCTTCAGCTCAGGAGATGATATGACAAGAATTTCCTTGATCCAGTATACGATGGTGTCCATAGTAACAGGTAAGTGGTCTCTCATTGAAATAAAAAAGAGGACAGAGTAACCAGAGATCTGCATGGTTTTGTCCTAGATAGGAGAGCTTGGAAAGCACCCAGCAGGAAGATTTCTGATAGGTCATCATAGCGATTTATGTATATGCTCTTCTTTCTTGACTTTGAGCCTTCATGTAATAGAGAGATATTGTGTTTCTTGGGAGTTATAACATCTTTGGCTATACTGTGATCTGTGGATCTTATAAAGAATATGTTAATTCAAGCCAGATCCAAAG